GTAAACTAGATACTGTTTATATTTCATTTCATATTTTTTTTTTAGTATTTATTACTTTCCATCTTTAAATGTGTCACATAGTAAATAATAACATTGAAGTGGAGTAATATTTGCCTATTCTGAAAATGTTCTAAATGTATTTCAGTTACTATACTTCAATGAATTTTAAGTGTAAATATTGTTAAACTAGATTTTACCCGCCGCTTTGCTCGCGTTGTTGTCCTAAATATATGTCAAAAATCATCGACGCTACATAAAACTAATTTTTTTTTATCCCTTGGGAACAGTATTCTTTTTTCTGGATAAAACGTACCCTATGTCCTTTTCTGTACTCCTGAAAATGTGTACAAAATTTTATGATAACTCATTGAGTAGTTAAGGCATTAAATCTCCCACATAAAACTAATTTTTCTATCCCTTAGGAGAACAATTTTTTTTTATATAAAAGATACCCCATATACTTTTCTGTGTCCCTGATCGGCCACATAAAACTAATTTTCTATCCCTCGGGAACAGTTTTTTTCTAGAAAAAGGGTAACCTAGGTATTTTTCTGTACCTCTAACAATGTACCTACAAAATTTCATGACGATCGATTGAGTATGTAAGGCGTGAAATCGATCACATTAAACTAATTTTTCTATCCCTCGGGAACAGTTTTTTTTTTCTGGATAAAAGGTACCATATGTGCTTTTCTGTACCTCTGACAATATGTGTAAAAATTTCATGATGATCGGTTGAGTGATTAAGGCGGGAAAAGCCTACAAACAAACAAACTGAAATTCACATTTATAATATTAGTTAGGATGGCAGTTGTCAAAGTACTGCTTCTAATTTTATATTTGTTTATCAAATACGATATAAGTTACGCCCAAGAAGGCTAAGCCCTATAATTGTAGGTTACATGCGTTTTCACTGAAGGGAAGTGGAGTATAAATGTGTCATAAGTTAATATGATTATGACATACATTCCACTATATTTGTCTGTTGTAATATGAAGAAGCATGAAAGAGAATACGATGTGTCGTATATCGATGAATAATTGGTCCACATGCAATTTTATACAAATGTGAAATTATGTGTCTTTTTGAATTTTGAATAAGTAGATTCTTTTAATGAAATGGATTGTTTTATTATACTTAGAAGTCGCCCATAAAATACGTCACTGCATTCATCTTTTTAGACTTCTCCCCCTCTCCTTTCGTTACGCTAAGTCACACTTTCAGCGACCCCCCTAACAAATATTAGGTCACAAAGATAGTTTACTTCCTACCCTCTATAAACTATTTTTACTGATTAAAAATAGCAATGAGAATTATTTACTATCACAATGCCAAAATTTTAAAAACTGTCAAGTTAAGGAAAACGGTTAAAATAAAATCATTAACTGCAAACATCAGATTTTCTTAACCCCCCCCCCTTCCATCTTGTAATACATCGTTACGCTAAGCAATAATCCGCCCTCTCCCTTATTTACTAATGTATTTTATGAACGTCCCCATATTTAATTTTTTTAATTTGGCTGTTAGGTAAAAAAAACTCTAGAAAAGATTGAATCCAGGTCTTCAGCACCTCCTAGCCCTACCCCAAGTTCGATTAGCAACACATCAAATTCTAGTAAATTAAAAATAAGTGGAAAAAACTTGTTGCCGTATAATGTTACTCCACCTAGACCTCGTGGACCGACTGAAGCTGAAAAAAAAATTGAAGAAATGACCCGACAAATTGAAGAAGAAATGGAGAAACATGAGGAAGAAGGGGAATATTTTGGTAATTATTCAGATAAATTAATGCCATTGGTTTTTT